ACACTGATGAGGCCGCTGGGTGACATCGCCCGTCAGGTCATTGCTCGAGTGGAACCAGGCCGAAAGGGAAGCACACGGCGAGTGGGACGTCAGTGCAAGGGTGACATGGAGGAGATCGTGTGAAGAGGAGATGAAACAGTATGGACTAACATGGATGCAGGTGAAAAGTAGAGCAGAAGGAAGACAGAAGCAAGTGGAGACGTGCAGTTAAAGCCCTATGTTCCACTAGGAACCCAAGGGAACAACAATAATAATAAAAAAGTTTGAGCATTGTGGAATATATCAAATAAAGTAAAATTATACTTCAATAGTTTACACACAATGATAAGTTTTGTTATTGGGAATATTTCCAGCAAAATTACTGCCCGTGTTCACACCACTGTTGGAATTGTTCTTTTTTTAATTCACACATATATGATTTGTATTCATATATATAGTTCATTTTTTTGTTTATTCATTTTTGTATATTCAGAATCATGTGCGCAGCTATAGATTAATTTTTTTCTAAATTCTTGTAGCCTTGTGTTCCAGTTGGTTGACCTTTAGTTGGGCGTTTATGTTCATTCACCCTTATTTTGAGTGATCTGGACGTTTGACCCATAAATTTAGTTGAACACAAGATATTTTGTAAATCACATTGTTTTTATCCATCATTTTTATGGGATCTTTCAGTTGCTTTATTTTATTTTTATATAGATTCGTCGGTTGAAACGTTGTGCGAATCCCAATACTTTTGAGATTTCTTCAAATTGTCTCGAATGTACCATTTTTGTATGGTATTGTGACGATTTTTTGCCTTCCTCCGTCTTGTCATTCTCCGGTCTTACCCTCTTTTTTTTGAATTAACTTTGGTAAATTCTGTTGGGTAGTTGTTGTCGCGTAACATTTTGAATAGGACATTTATTTCTTTACACTGGTCCTCTGGTGTTGTCGTAAGTCTACGTATCCTATCTGCAAGACCTTGTATTAATCCTCGTTTTACTGTGAGTGGATGAGCTAAGTGATAATCAAAGAATCTTCCAGAGTGTCTAGTTTTTCTATACAACGTCGTTTTTATGCTACCATCTGTTACTCTTTGTATTTTACAGTCCAAAATAGGCAGTTCCCCAGTGTCATTCTCTATTTCCATAGTGAGTTTTATTGAGTCAGCGTAAGTGTTTATGTGCGAGAAGAAACAGTCGATGAAGCTACGAATTAAAGTAAACGCAGAAAAAGCAGAAGTGATCAAGATAACCAAACAAAAATCACTGTCAACGGAAGAAATCTGGAAGAGGTAACTTCCTCGACTTATCTAGGCACCATCGTTTCAACTACAACCGACTCCAGGGTGAGGATGCCAAAACCAGCTACAATCTAAAAGACAAGCAAGTCAGACCTTAATCACTCTCAAATTAGTGTGGATATCTTCTGCAATCAGCATAGAGAAGAAAATTTGGATTTTCAGCACCAATGTTATGTTAGTGGGTTTTCCTATGTGGGTCAGACGCTTGGTGCGCATTTCTAGCAGACTGCAGACTTTTTCCAACACCAGCCTTTGCTAAATACTGAGGATCATACGGGTGGCCAGAAACAATCAGTGACAAGAGACTGGGGGAACAAGCATTCTTATTCTTATTTCGATAACGTATCACACGAGTGTGTCACCAACTCCTCTAGTATGTGGATTGACCATTTAAATTCCAGAATATTTCTAATTACTTTGTTTATAATTGTATATTCTAACTTTCTGCATACGTTGCGCGCTATGTGGTGAACTGGCAGGAGTTAGGATTCATGGGCTGACCATTGGATCGGGTACCAGTGGTTTATTGGTCTACGAGCTCGCTGGCCTAGCAACCAGAAGGTGTTGGGTTCGAAACCTGACGGTGGATGTGTACTTCTGAAGAGCCCCTAACTAGACTGACGCAACAGGTGTCCAGTACTCCCAGCTGGTTTTCCAATGGTTCTCTAAACGAAGTCAGCTGATGATCAAATCCTCCAGCCAAATATATAATTGTAAGGTAGTTTTATACGACCAGTGGATCGTCCTAGAGTGACATGGAGGAGACAGTGTGGCAAGGAGGAGATGAGAGATTATTGTAGATCGTCGACCCAGCTGAAGAAGATGGTAGAAGATAGGACGAAGTAGAGATGTGTTGTTGAAGCCCTATGTTCCACTCGGAACCCAAGTCAATAATAATAATTTATGCGACCAGAATAGTACAGTTTTAATAAGAAAATCTTAAAGGTAAGTTCCCTTTCTAATCCCACCAATTTGCTACATTTATATCTCCAAAAACCATCTGCTTGCTTAGTCAAAGATAACGGCTGTAATGTAAGAAAGTCTACACTCATCCAAACAGAATATGGGGAACATCACCAAAATAGAGACTTGAAAACAAAAACAGAAGAATCACAAGATTTCCACAATAAGTGTCTTCTTACTATCATCAGTATACTATTATTGTTGTCTTTAATTCCTAGAGGAATATAGGGCTTCAGTTGCACGTCTCCATTGCGTTCGGTTCTCCGACAACCTTCACGTCTGCCCTCAAGCTTTCATCTCCTCTTCTCATGACCTCCTCATCCATGTCACCCTCGTACTAACGACCAAATCACCGTTTCCCGTTCGGGTTACAATTGAGCGAAATCCTGCCGTGTGATGTGACTTGATGGTTTGTTTTCTCAGAGTATGGCCAATCTATCTCCATTTCTTCCTACATATTTGTTGCACAATCGGTTCCTGCTGGGTTGGTTCGCTTCCAGAGTTCGCCTTTGCTGATCATCTTTTCTAGCTGACCATCTGATCTTGAGCATTGAGTGAAGACAGCTGTTGATGAAGGTCTGCAGTTTGTTTGAAGTGCCCTTCGTGACGCGCGGTTCAAGTCTCTGATCCACACTGGAGTTGAAACTTCCGATCATATTTTCATTTTCATGCCAAGTTCTGTTGACCTCCACACAGACTTGAGAGTAATGAAAGCTTGAATTGCTTCTTCGATGCTCGCCTTGATATCCTCATCAGTTCCGTTCGCCTGTAGTTGAAACGATGCTTCCCAGGTAGGCAGGTAAAGGAGGTTGCTTCTTTCAGACTTCTCCCATTTATGCTGGCTGATTGTTGTCTGCTGTTGCTGTTGGTCAGGAATCCTCATCGCTTCTTTTGTCTTTATGTTCATTGGTATATATATCCATAAAATGAACAATGTCGAAGTTAGATAATGAATTACTTTAGAATGTTAGAAAATCAGATAATAACTTTGTAAACTAGAAACTTATTGAAGAGCTTAGCATTTTTTTGTTATTCACTAGGTGCCATCAATGCTAATTTGTTAATATCCCTAAAATCTGGATTATTGATTTAATTTTCGTTGAGGTTGACGGTATACGGTATGTTTCTGAGATAAATCTGTCCAAATTCTAATTCACACATTACCCCATATGTTTGAATGACTTAGCACCATGCTGTAATACCGTCAATCTTAGTCTGTTGATCTTCTCACCGGGTTGTCTCCTTATTCTGTGTCTGTCTGTCCGTGTGTGTGTGTGTGTGTGTGTGTGCGAACACTCTACAGCACTCATCCTCTTTACCTCAATTCATTCGCCTACTATGTTATTCACGTCATTACGAATCACAGTTTCCATTAGAAATTTAAACAAATTCAATTTTAGTTGGTTAAATAACTTGATATTTATCCAAAATTCGACTGAATTTCAACTGTCCAAAATCAGAATCATAAGTAAAGAATGGAAACAGATATAAACTTTGTTAATATCGTTCAGGATAATTTTATTTTATGATATTATGAACATGAAACATGCTTACAATAATCACTTACATTGCTTATTGGAATTCCATTTTTGTATTGTTTTAAAATACACAAAGTTGATATATATATATATATATATAAGGATAAGTCATTACAAACAGTTGTTATCCACATATTTATAGTTGAACAACTGGTTGTGAGTTAGTATAGTATACTGCGCATACTACTAAATGATTTAAGTAGTTGGTAAGCATTCACGCTAATTAAATAGTACCCATTGACTAAATCGAAGAAATAGAAATAGTAGATAGGAATTCTACTCACAGGGGAATAAACACATCAACGACAATGCATTCTGAGTGAAACTACTGGAAATTTCAAATAGACTGGTGCGGACTTGTACCAGCAGATGACTTTGTTCACTACTGAGTATCAGACGGTCTGTTAGAGACGACAGATAACCAGTCAACAGCCTGTCAACCAGTAGATATGCAGAAAGAAATAACGAGAGGTGGATTGGATACTCGCCGTGGAGAATGTCGGGTGACAAAAGGCACTCGGAGGGGAAGCCGAATGGGAAACGACAAGTCGGGCTCGTATTCACCGATGACATGGAGGAGATGGCGTGTGGAGGAAATGAAGTCATATGGACAGTCTTGAAACTAGCTCAATAAAACGCAGAAAACAGAATGATAAAAATATGTGCCACTGAAGCTCTTTTAGGCGACAAATGGAACAAAGTCCTTCAAGATTGAGCTTTGCAGGTTTAGAAGTCATGGTGATCCTGTTACTGGGTGACGTTGACAGTCTCACGCCAAACCCCCGTTCATTACCGGGATTACTACCGGTTAGGCTTTTGACGAGTGAGTCATCTGCAAATCGAACCCATACCACGTGCGTGATAAGCAAGCGTCCGACCAGTGTACCACCGACACAATAATTCTAGATTAACTTTTATAGAACAGGTTTCATATCATGACTGTCAACAACCAGTATAAGCCATAAGTAATATTATACATGAAACAGCACTATACAGAAACGGAATCAGGTGAAATCGGCGTGGAACGAAAAGAAGTCATTGTCATTTAAGATTCAATGACTGGCAGAATGGAAGGGATCTATGACTCGAAGCAAAATCATATGTGGATGCACATTAACAAAGTAGTTGTTGGGCTAGAACTGGATTAAAAAGTGACGAATTTTGAATAGTAATAATAATAACAGTAGCAATACATTTATTGATTATGCAGTACTTACTCTACACCTGTCGCCATAATACAACCTTGACATTCACATTCTTCAGTATCATGTCGTAAACCAAAATTATGTCCAAGTTCATGCGCCATAGTTCGAGCTGTTTCCGTAATGTCAAATGTAGGTGAAACCTGTAAAAAAACAATATGCATTGATATAAATATTGATAAAAATAAAAAGAGATATAATGATGAAGCTTATTCATTCTAGAGTGTTGAAATCCGAGATGACAATCAGCTGTCAAGTACTCTATGGCTCTCAATGGATCTTCATGTGAAATCAATACATGGTCAAAATTGAAACAAATCAAAATTAATCTGCTGCTTACAAGAGACTGGTTGCATAACTAATGCTCCTGGAGTGAGTTCCATTGAGAAGTCGTAACCAGTGAAGAGTGAGGACAAATACTAGTCGATGACATTGGTTGGTAGTCGCGCCAAGGTGATAACGAATTGGTAGAAGTTAAAATTCATAGACCGTTGTGTAGAGTCCCAGGGACTGAATCCCTTTATTCAAACTGCCAAAGAAAGGAGACTTAAATCAATGCAAGAAATGGCGCGGCATTATGCTCCTGTCCATTCCAGGAAAAATACTAAGCCACATCATCGTAGAGAGAATCAAACATGCCACTCTGGATGAAAAACTTCGACCGGAACAGGTTGGATTTAGGAGGAACAAGTCATGCATCGATCAAATTGCAACACTACGGGTCATCATTGAACAAGACTTGGAATGGCAGTCAGCTCTCTATCTCAACTTCATTGACTTTGAAAAGGCTTTCGAGAGCGTCATCTAGAGGTGATTTGAAAACTACTTCGCTACTACGAAGTGCTGCCAACAATTATACATCTCATCCAACAGTTGTACGACAATACTGCAGGCCAAGTAATCCACAAGGGGAAATTCATGGAATCCGTCGAAGTGAAGACAGGAGTAAGACAAGCTGGGTGCCTACTATGTCAAGCGATTTTCCTGATTACGGTAGACTGGACAATGCGACAGACAGCGGACGGTGAGGAGATCGGCATAAAATGGGCCCATACAAAAACTCGAAGGATCTGGACTTCACCGATGATATCTGTCTGATCTCCTACAAACTGGAAGATATGCAAGTGAAAAGCAACAAGTTGGCAGAAGTAGCATCCAGAGAAGATAGGACTTCAGGGGAACAGAGAGAAAACAGAGATGATGAAGATTCCTGGCCAACAGCAACAACAACAGACAAGAGTCAGCCAGCATAAATGGGAGAAATCTGAAAGAAGCAACCTCCTTCACCTACCTACCTATCTGGGAAGCATCGTTTCAACTACAGGAGGACGCGATTGATGAGGATATCAAAGCGAGGATCGGGAAAATAAGGCAAGCTTTCATTACTCTCAAGGCTGTGCGGAGGTCAACAAAACTCAGCATGAAAATGAAAATGAAATCGGGATTTTCAACTCCAACGTCGACGTCAGTGCTACTATGCGGATGAGAGAACCTCAAACAAACTTCAGACTTCATCTGTCCTTCGCTCGACACTACTCAAAATCAGACGGCCATCCAGAAAAGATCAGCAACAAGAAGGAATCTCTGGGAGGGAACCAACCAGAAATCGATTTTGCAACAAATCTGCAGGAAGAAATGGAGGTGGATTGGTCATACACTGAGGAAACAAACCGTCAAGTGATTGACATCACACGGCAGGCCATCGCTGGAGTGGGACCCGAATGGGAAGCGGTGAGTCGGTCGTAGGTGTGATGGTGGGGTGAAATGGAGGAGGAAGTGATGTGAAGAGGAGATGAAAACATGTGGGGAGACGTGGAGCCAGGTGAAAATGTTGACGGAGAACCGAACGCAATGGAGATGTGTGGCTGAAGCCCTATATTCCTCTAGGAATTAAAAGGAAACAATAATAATTGTTTTATTTGCCCTGTCTAATCCAAATATGTTGGATTTCTCTCTTTCCCTCTTTGTTGCTATAAGGAGCATTTCTTATTATTACGGCTGATTTTATTTATATTATTACATTGATTCGTTTACCCTACAATCCCTCTCCATTCTTCATGTCAAATTTCTAGTATCTTCAGTCAATGTATAAATAAAAGCGAATAAATAAATAAATTCCATCATAATCACTATTACCATCTGTGTTACCGGTATATAACTTTTTTAAATCCGATTTTGCCTGTCCCTTCCGATCTACCTATCATTATAATTGACTACCACAAAAGGATGTCGTACACTCTATCGCTAACTTGTTTGACTTTCAATCTTTTCAATGTTAAGCCACTTATTTGCAACTGGAATTATCCCGTGATAATGATAATTAATAATCAAGGAACTACGATGTATGTAAAATTCGCCGATAAATTTATTTATCCAATCCACATCGAATGCCTGTACAAAGATGAACCAACTGACACAGAAAAGAGATAGATTACAACTATGCATAGCGTTGTACCGCCTATGCAATTCCTCAGATATAAGAACAATAGTCAATCAAATCCAATATACAGCCTTTTTTTATATGTTCTCCTCTTGATCAATAATCTGATTCGACTTATGTGTTCTCTACATTTATAAATGAGGCCTTCTGTTGGTTTTTTTTTCGTATACGGGGCAACAATGGGCCATCTAGTCATCCAGCCTTCAGTAGTTGGTCCACACCATTTCAACAGGAAACAGTAGATCCACCGCTACTCTTAGCTTATCACGGAAAGCAATTTCAACAACATAATACCGACTTTTGTCAACAACAGCGCTACCTTCTTCGCCCCATACTGAAGATCAGATGACCAGGAAGGATAAGTAACAAGGAGGTCTGACAACAAGTGAACTAAGAACCTATCAACCGTTGAATGATATTACGCACCAAGCTAGTTATCGTGTGGAACCCGAATGGGAGATGATGAGTTCAGCCTGGGTTTGAGGGTGACATGGAGCAGGAGGAGGAGGCGAACGCCTAAGGGTCATCTCGAGGCTAGCTGAGAAAGACTGAAGAGAACAGAATAAGGCGGAGATGTCCTGTTGAAACCCTATGTTTTACACGGACACGGAGAACACACTGTACCTTCCTACTGTATGACATAACATCTCATCTTTTTTGGACCAATCACATCCCTTCTAATGGTTAGTTCTTTTCCCAGATACATAGAATTAATAAACTAACGCAAAATGATTTAATTATTCTGCATGAGCTCATTTCATGAGCTTATGAAGATATCAGATCATGTTTTCTTTTCACATCGCCAATAAAGGATTGATTAAAGTTAGAGCAGTTTATTTACAGGCCAAAAGTATACCTACAACGAGCCATCTGGATGTTACGGAATTTCATATTTACAGTAAACATGGTTCAAGTTGCTGCACACACACACACTTCATAAGATCAGGAAAATCGAGGAGAACAGCGAATATGAAATGAGGCATGAAAAACAAGAAAGGAAATAAATATATCCAAAAAGTAGAGCAATATGACGAATAAAATAAAAAAAACTGAAAAACATTGATAGATAATACAGAAGGGAAAGAGAAGAACATTCAGCAATGAATATTCATCACTGTGAAAGAAGAAATCCACTGTTATTGCGAATTTTATTCATCCTCTTCAGCTGACACACAAACCTAACAAAAATATTATCCTTTTAAATGCATTGTAACCATTTTTCAACTAAATAAGCTTGTATTTAGATGGTTGTAGAAATAATGAGCAAGAAGACTTGACAAGTGTCAATAAATACGAAACTTAGGTGTGTTCAGGACTTCCAACAGACTGCTTCCAACTATCTAACATCAGTACACCTTGCTTAGTGATGACACTTCAAACTTGACATACAAGAATCCAGTCATCACTAAAAAAACTAGATGCATGGCCAAACAAGGAGGTTGTGTTTATTTGGTAAATTATACGAAATGATTCATGATTTTATGTGGATTATTTCAACCAGAAACACTATTCACTAAGAAAATAATGATTGCAGGTGGCTTCAAGATAGTAATGACCAAATGGAACGGGTACTGGATGTTATTTAAGATGGCTACTATATCCAACAACCGATTAATTCAACTTTACAGTTTGTGGACAAGGAGTGAAGCACAAAGATCATGAAATCAGTACTAAGATATACGTGATGAAACCAGGTAAGCATCTTAAGATTTATCCTATTACGAGTTGATCACGGATTGATATCAGTTAGAGAACCATTGAAAATCAACACTGGAGTACTGGACAGCTGTTTTATCCTCGTTTGGGAATCATCATCAGTACGCATCCACTGGGTTCAAAATACAGGACCTTCCGGTTACAAGGCAAGCTGGCTTGAGTACCATTCAGCCACTGGGACCCGATTCAATAGCCACCCCATGAATTCTAACTTCGACCAATTCGTGATTTAGCGTGGCCACCAACCAGTGTCGTAGGTGGGACATCCATCCTCACACTTGACAGGATGGACCTCAGTGGTCACGTCTTCTCGCTAGAACTCCAGGAAACTACATCTCTAACTGATATCAATCCGTGATCAACTCGTAAAAACAAAACTAACCCTTACAAACCAACTATATAAAATTTATCCTATTAGTGAGCTGTAGGAGGTGCTGATAGAAAAATGTGATTCATTGGACCAAGCATTCAGTGTACTATTCCGTGTTAAAATCCCTCTCCACCTATTTCAAACTGAACGATTTAGTAGTACCATCAATCTTCACGCAGTAAGTGTAGCCCATAGATGGGTAGATGAATAAATTTCATTCGGGTAGCTGAGCTCTAAACTAATAATCAGCTAGGAAATGTTGACAGACTACATCACAGCATATACAATAGCTGCAAGAATTCCTTGATGAATGATTTGACCAACTAACCCAAATATCTATCCACTAATGTTACTAGAGTATTCAGATACACACCATTGTATCTGAAATAGAAAATGCATCAAACCAAAACATCATTCATAAAATATATCTGAATAACTTAGCAACCTGATGATAAGTTATTTCAGAAAATATGGGTAAAGGCTGTTGCGTTAATTTGAGCTACAATTTATGATAACTAAAATACATATAGCGGTACTTCGGTGATTCAAAAGTATCATGATCATCAGCAAAGCATGTGGTACAAGTTCGGCCCCCAGTCGAGGCATTCAACTTAGTGCTTTAATCAGTAGTAAACTGGAAAGGTGAAAAGGTTGAATGTGACGCTGGCAACCTCACCCCCCATAAAAAACAATACCATTGATACTGAGACTTCTGAAGATCACGGAATATACCTTTATTTTTTTTATTTTTTATTTACAGCTTGATTCCACACTGTATTTTTCGTACAAGTATGGAATTTTCAGCATGGATATCGGTAGCCCAAATTTTGCAGGCCGACCATAGATATCAGGTGTGCGTCGGCGTGGGCTCGAACCCCGGACCATGTGCATGGTCGGCGAGAGTCCTAATCACCGTGCCACTGACGCAGCACAGGAATTATTTTTTTAAAAAATGGTTGCAGCGATAAAAATTCTCTTTTTGACGAAGTCACCAACTAGACAGCTGTACATTCGTGCATTGATATTACATGTTTGAGAAAGTTCCAGAATCATCTCCGGTCAGAGGTCACATTAATAAGATTACTGGGTGTAATAAACACAATATAGGGTAGTGGCACTATTCTAGAAATATTTCAGACCAAGGGTAAAATTAAAAATCCCAATGTGTAATAATCAGGAAGACCGGGTAGAAAAGACAAAGTAGGATTACAATTACTAGAAAACTAGTCACTTTGTTTAATGACGGATTAAAGATGTGGTATTAACGAAAGGAGTAGGAGGTTCGGACGCATAAAAATAAAAACAATAACCAAATCTAATAATCCAGATAGGGATTTAAAAGATAAATATAACAAATAAACGGGAAGGTTGGACAAGAAAGGTAATAGGATAATCACTGTTGGTGGGGAGACTGACTTTTGGTGATGGCCATGTTAGGGACAAGGGTTGGACTTAGTAATTTTATTAATCTGACCTCTTACCGGAAACAATTGTGGAACCTTCTCACACATTTCATGTGAATACACGAATGTACAGATGCCTAGTTGATGACTTCGTCGAGAAGAAAATTTTCTTCGCTGCAACCTTTTTTAATTTTTTTTATTCCTTCACGTTCCCAGTGGAACATAGGGCTTCAAGGTCGAAGCTTGAAGTTTCTATAGCAGTGTGTTTATTTTTACGGGATGGGGTTGATAGCCTCACGCCCAACTTTTTCTTTTTGCCAGCTTTAATTCTGAATTAGCGAGGTAAATCTACAACAAGAAATATCAGGCGACGGTTATCATAACCCAGTTGTTCAGTGTGCAATACTATCGCATTTGAAGAGGGGAGGACATAGTGAGACGTAAGTACATCCACTTGATAGATTCGCCGTTGATTTCACTGTATACCATCACTAAAAGCATAGTAAAGTTACTACGTATATATCAGCTGAAAAAAACCTCGGTAACTTATGTCTTAACGTTGATGACTTTAAGGACTGATGCTGTTTTGATTTTAACTTTCTTAAGTCAGTTCCAACCTAAAACTAATTCAAATAACATCGCCAGCAAATAAATTAGCGACTTAGTGTTTGCTGCATGTGTCCTAACTACATCAATAAACGCTTTACAATTCTACATATAAACTTACACCCCTTGTCTTCTAACGCTCTATAGCCAACTTCATTTGAAATGAGCATGTTACTCTACCTAATGCTAGTGTCACTTAAGGATAACCGGTTATCTGAATATAACTGTAGTAAACAACCACCACTACAGAGTTACTGGGCGGAAACTCCAGCAAAAACGTAGATAGGACTTTAGTCTATCGTTTTCTGATGTGAAACTCCTAGAATTTAATTTAAGAATATTTTTTAGACGCTCTCAATAGTATTGGTAAAATATTTAATGACATAATGATAGATTCAACATCAGTATTAAATATCATGATTATTTTTCCTCAGAATCTGTTTGATTCTATTGGAAAGATAAATGAGAAGGATTAATAATAAGTAGCAGGAGGCGAACATTGAATGAACAACATTAACACCAGTATAGGGTGACACTCCAAGGCTCTTTTTGAAGATCCCGGAAACAGACTGGCATCCGCAAAACTTCATTTTTATATTACTAGCGGTGGTAGAATTAAATGCAGTCAAGAATAAAAGTTGGAAGTTGAAGATAACTAACCGTTTCTTATTACCTCTGAAAATCTTGAGTCCCTATGTTCTATTCGGTATGCAAGAAATGAAAGAGAAATGAAGAGAATTGAATAATAAACTAATGTAGTTCAGAGTAATCACGATTTTGACTATGACTCATCTCAGATTTTTAAAAAAATGAAATGACAACAATATTAGTGAATAAGGAACAGATCAGAATTTTGAGGAAACGTGTTGTATATATTATTATGTTTTTAAAAAATATTCAACTTACTCTGCTGTAACCAACACAACGAGAATAAATACACATTGTCATATGATTAGCTTTACCACGAGTACGTGAGCCTTGTTCTTTTGTGCCCCTGTTAAATAATTCAGAAAGAGAATATCACAGTCACAATGAAAAAGAGTGGAACATTCTTCAGTTGTTAAATGATAATATTGTTTGATAGTGAAAACACTTTAAGTCATGGTTCGAATCCGTGTTAGCGACCTCAGGGTTGTTTTGTTTGACCGCACTTACCCAGAACAGATTTTTCATATACACCAGGCTACGAATCAGACTTCTTGTGTGTTTGAGGGCTGATGATACTAATCAGAGTTGACCAGGCCAAAGTAGGTGGAGCGCGACTTGAATCCAGGATCCATTACCTGGGGTGCAATAATACCTATCTGAAGTATGCGAGCCAACTGCTGATCACATCTCAATTCCCCTTTTATCATTGATGGTATTATGCAAATGCCTTGTAACTAGAAGTCCTAGGTTCGAACCCCGTTGGATGCGTACAGCCGAAGAGTCCCAAACTAGGAAGAAACAGTTGTCCAGTGTTTCCAGATATTCCAATAGTTTTCTCATCGATGTCAGCTTATGACGAAATGCCGTATCCAATTAATGAAATCCCTACAAATCAACACTTGAAAAAAAATTCGTCTGACCGCCTAAAATGATCTTATCTCACTTAGTCGAACAAACAGTTGATTATCCACCTTCTCCTCTACTCCTCTTCCTCCTTAACATAGTAAAATTAGAATTAGTATGAAAAAACGTCTGTTCGGACAAGTAGCGTGATAATAGTGAATAGAAAGCTAACTCAATCTCAAAGTGATTCAATATCTGATGGACTCTTACATTGGCATCGTGGGCCAGTCAGCAGATCTCCGACACGGTAATCTAAAAGACATCCTGATTTCAAATGATGCAGTGAGGGGAAAACTTATTTTAGCCAAAATATTAGTCCCTCAACTGAAAGCTTCCTAAGATAGTCACATGTTTACAAAGGTAAACTATTGTCAGTCCCCCCAAAACGATGGGTAGACTTCCATCTTTCTCTCGAAATCCTCTAATATGGCCACTTGTTCATAGACTATGCCAGGTAAGTTTATGCTACTAATTTCACGCGCTTGAAGTGGAGTCTTCTTGAAAAAAGTAAAAGACAGGATACAGACGTCTGGCGCTTACAGCCGGACTGCTGGACACGCAAGTCCATCATCAATCACGGGAGTGTATCTCTTGACGCTATTTCACTTCCTAATGGATGAAGCTTCAAGTTAAGGGTTTGGGGAGGGGGGCTCCCTTAAGCCATTCAGCTAACTCGGTCTGTGAGTCCCATTAGTATCCCAGGCCTCATACAAACTGAGATTTGTGTGATGTATCACTTGGTGTTTTAAAGTGAATGAATAATGAACTATGATCAACCAGAGAGAGAGAGAGAGACAGAGCAGTTGACCTTCATTTAATGTCTGTTTAACCACAGACAGTTAGTTGTATTTCGAAAAATCAAACATGATTATTTGTCTATTTTTGGCGATATGATTCACTCAAGCATATCAGTAACATATTCAATCAATATGCGTAGGCAGTAGTTAAGTGATTTTTGGGGTATTTTGGCACGAATTCCTTTCAATGGACACACAATAAGAAGAAAGGTTGTCGGCATTTGTAAATAAAATCATAGAAAGTATAAAAGTCATTTAGATGTTTTCTTCCAACTTTACAATCAAATAAAGTTATACTTATACAATTGGTGGATGGTGGCTAGCAGTGGAATCCAGGATAAAGCGCATTTCGTCCTATTTGGGACTCGTCAGCTGGATGTACCTGCATTTCTCAGTGAGTGATGATGTTCCCACCGAGGCTCGAACCCAGTACCCATAGTTTCAAACGCCAAAGCGTTATCCACTAGACCACTTGGGCCACGAGAGCCACCTCTTGTGCAACGGGTCATATTAATTATTGAATTGAATTTTTGATTTTCCCGTCGATTGAAGTAATACTTGATAAGTGTCCTAGAGAAAAAAGTTGCTTTAGGAAAACTGTCATTATTATAATGTTAAACTAGTAGAAACACGTTTATTCTACCTATCACCACCAGTCATCAGTTGGTTTGTAGGAAACTTTCAATTTTCAATAGTCATTTCGGTGTTTTACACGAGTGAGAATAATTCAATAAAAGGTGGACAATAAGTACCTAATGGTATCCTAAATGCTCAGAAGACTATTCCAATCACGCTATGGTTATTTATCTGATTTAAAAATGTTACGATTACAATTTTCACTACGCACTGATTTCAGTTAGACAGCTATTGAAAACCACCAGAAAATACTGGTCAGCCGTTTCGTCCTAGTTTAGGACTCTTCAGAATAATGTACCTGAGTCTCACCACAAATAAAAATCAGTCAGTCAAATCCCCACAAATCAACACTTGAAAATTAGTTAAGTGTTGCTTAGCAGTTGCCTGAAGTCCCTGTGGGAAGTCGTAGTCAGCGGGCTCCACAAAGTTAGGCATGAGGATGGATACTCACTGAAGACATTGTCAGAAGTTAGAATTGATGGTCCATTGCATCGCGTCCCGAAGGCTAAAGGGTCCTGCGATAGATCCCCACTTGGACTATGAGTACCTACTCTGAAGAGCTCCAAACAAGAACAAAACAACTATCCGGTACTTCCTGGATTTCTGACTGGAGTCAATTCATGATCAAAAGTGGAACCAGTCAAACCTTTGCAAGCCAACACTTGAGAATGTTCCGACTATGTGAAACAACTCGGCCTTTTTTATTATATGGAGGTCGGATGACGAGCGAAGTGTGACTCAACAGTTCAGTGCACAGCTGTCCTTTGTAAGACTTAGTCAAAACTAACTGGAATTGGATAGTGAAAGTCAGCCAGCAACTACAGAGGTTATTTGCATACGCTATTTCCCAGCCAAACATCTTTTTTCCCCTTCAGTCACCAACATACTGAAGTGAGTATACGGTAGGTTGCAGCTGCAGCCAGTCATACATTTCTTAGGATGGTTTTTACAAATGTTAGGGTGGAATTGACTGGGAAGCCTTAGTCGAGTGGAAAGTAAAGTTGTCATTTCCCAGTTATCAGTAAGTTATTTTATCCAAGTTACATAATGAAATCTTTCTAATAAGGCATTAACAGTTAGCAAATAGTTTCACCAAATGACACTGGTTTAAAAGCAGTCAAGTTTCAAGGGGGTATAAACTAACAGAACATCGAAAATATCTAGATCTCTTAGTTCTTAAATTATTATAGATAATTAACTTGGAACTTTCGAAAAATTCTTTATTTTCAATTTGTTCATAAAATATGTCAATGTGGATTTCTTTACAAAGAGTAAGTTTGAAAATCACTGAAGACGGAGAACAAGATAGTTGATTCGTCTAAGTTTATGACTCTTTAGAAGTGCATATCTTCTTTGACATTTATTTAATTATTCCCTTACGATCCCAGCAAAACATACGGCTTCAAGCTAGAGGCTTGAAGTTTCTGTAGCAGTAGTGATTATTTTTACAGGATGGGGTTCCTATCTTCATGCCCAACCTTCCCTCTTTAACAGCCTTGTTACCGGCTTACCGAGGTAAAGGTGTGTTTCGGTCGCTGGGGATCGAACCCTGGACCACCTGCGTGGGCAGCGAACACTCTACCTCTGTGCCACCAACGCACTAATCATACCCATATGAACTGAATATCAAAAGTATGTATTAGAATCGTTACAATACAAAAGTATTAACCAAAAAAGGGGAAGAAACAATGTAAAAAAACAAGATCCAAATAAACTTACAGTAAAGCATGTAAACAATCATGGCGTATATCCGTATGCATACGTTTAAATTGAGCCAATGCTGTGAGTATATGATGTTCTTCTACCTTTAAACTAATACGATCTTGTTCCCATATCTCTAATCGGACAATAACTATGATAATGTTGAACGGGGAAAACAACTTAAAAGAAAGAAAAAAAAAAGAAGGAATATTTTATGTAGAAAGATGAAGACTATAAACCAATAAATGATAGACAAAACGTACCACCTATTGTACACGAAGGAAATGCAACCAATTGGGAGGTAATTTTGTCAGCTATACCAAACGATAGCGTTTTATCTGCTTTTCTTAGTGGATTAATTATTAAATGGTTAGAAACAATCAACAGGAGACTCTGGACTTAAGCTTAGTGTTTCTTGGAACTAGTCATCAGGGCGTATCTGCAACTTTTAGGTAAATCATACCCCCTTTGAGATTCAAACCAAAGTTATCCGGTGCTCCAGTCATAAACATAACCGCTGAGCTATTCCACTTCACGAGTGATCTCTTGTAGGACTGTAATGGATAAGTTGAATGGTCTTACGTTTAGTCCTCGATGTTTCTGTAGACACCGATGGCGAACGACTTAGCTTGGTGACTGCATCGTAAACTTGATTGACAGAATTCAACCTGTACTAACACTAAGGATTATACACATGGCGTTAACATGTTACTAGGAGATAACCAGGTGAAATCATTATAAATAGTTCAAGAAACTTTCTGCTTATGAATGCATGATGAGTAAAAACTCGTTGGCGCGGGAGAAATTTATCATATACCAGGCAGTAGGCCCCACTTATTGTTTGAGGGTTGATGACACTAACATGTAAGAAAATAATGATCTGGTCACAATATTCGATGATGTCTTGTTTCACAAAATGATTTTGTTTCAGTGAATCAAGATCATTCTGACATTGGACTGTCTGTTGGAAGTATTGGTGCGCGATTCTTGTAGACGGAGTTTTGATCCCACCTTGCTGGAAACACTCTACTTGATTCAAAGGTTGAATTTCGGTTGACTGACTTTGATTTACAGTGTTTAGAAATTTACGTTGTCTGTATAGCTGCCTGATGGTACTGTTGAGGCGACTTCGATTTTCGATATTATTATTGTTCAATAGAAGCACATAGATTGGTGGACGAATAATCGTCGTTTAGCTGTCTTTGAAGCATTTTGTGATTGTGTGCATGTGTCTCTATAAGATGTTTTGGTCATCTATGTGATAGGATGTGAAGATCGGCTTCGTTCGTTATATTTGGTGGCGTCAGCTTTTATACATCATCTTGAAAGCTGTTTTTTTTATATCGGTCTTATTGTGACCAGTCCTACTGATAAAATTTATCAGTAGTATATAAAGAGACGTTCATCGGCATAAAAATATCAAATTACATAGAGATGAATTTGATTTCAGGGAAGGCAAATCATACAGCGTTGTGGAGATACATGGAAGACGTGAAAGCAATACAAAGAAACACAAAAGAAGGACAGAAGTAGCACAACACAGAAGATCTGTGCAAATTGTACTTTAAAGATAAGGTATACATGATTTGGGTATATACAGATACACCATGTACATGGTTCGGTGTCGGCCGGTGTACTCCTTTACCTCGTTAAGTCAGAAATAAATCTGGTAGAGAGGGAAGGTTGCACTTGAGGCTAGCAGCCCCATCCTGTAAAAATAATCAATACTGCTACAGAAACTCCAAGCCTCTAGCTTGAAGCCCTATGTCCCAGTAGGAATGTGAAGGAATAAAAACAAATGAATTAACGGCATTGCTAGCTAGCCAGGTTGAAGTGATCTAAACACCAGACGGCTATTTCGCTCATTTGAGGCTAAGCTCATCAGTAGTGTATCCGACATAATGCGACCCTTAGAGAGCCGAATTCGTTCAAAACAACCAACTTCTGGTTAGCTGCCTGGGTGAACCACATCTACAATTTGTAAATTAGCTAGTTAGATCACATGATTTCATCCCTCGAACTGTGTACACTGAAGACTGCTAACTAATTCACAACTTGTAAATCAAGTTATCCAGTTCGGTTTAAACAAAAAGACGAATCAGTAGGTAAATAATCACTTAGTAGAGAGAAGATCAGTAGTTCAGCGAAGAGTCTTTTTCAGCAAGTTCATTTTTACAGCTGTACAATAGAAAAACTATATATATGTTTATTTTGCATGTGTGTGTACATTAAATATGTCAAACGAAAATACAATTATTAAGTTTTTGGTGAAATTACGTAATACAAAAGGTGTTCAGAGGAATTGGATGTTAATATAAGAGGGTAGTAACAAAAGTGATGAGCTGTCATAAACAACTGTCAAAGAAGAGTTACGCTATAACATGAATGGTTTGATGAAAGAGTTGAGCTCAGGGTGTACATGGAAACAAAATAAAATACAGAGTTAAGCAAAAGTTTTAAAGAATTACAAGAGTATTACGTAGTTAGAAAAACAAGCGAACAAGCAAAAGTCAATTCAGATCAACATTGTTACCATGATACTAGAAGTGGCTGAATAATTTTCTTTTGTATACATATTTCTGGTTCTTCTAACTGAAAGGCCAGGGTTTCTGCTATGCAAAGAAGACGGAGACGTATTGCCTTTGGCAGGTTGTTCTTCACTTTGTAGGTTACTTCGAAGGAGGCGTTTGTTGAGATGGAATGACCAGTGGTGACGAGACAATCGATTATTGCACTCCTTATACAGCCATTACTTCCTTTCTGCAACCACGCTGGGTAGTGTTCTTTGATCCTTTTTGACAGGATGCGCATCGAACGACAGAAGTACCTGGCTCCACAGCAACAGGTGAACTGATATATACACATAGAAGTGGTCAGGTGCGAGATCTTGTTCTTTGGGCTTCTGCAGATCAGCGGGCGACTGGAAAACACTACTCTCAGCGTTGCGGCGAAGAAAGTTCTTCTTAGAGAAGTGGAAATTCTCCTCTTAAGGATATCACTGAGTAGGTCACCTTTGAAGTCGAGGTTAATATAAAGTATCTTTCATTGGCACGGATGGCGTCTCTTGACTTTGGATTTTTTGTTTGATGTTTTTTTTTCTATGAATCTTGGTAGATATCCGTTTTGTATGAAGATTTCCTTCAGGAAGTCTAGTCCTTCTCTCAGAATATCAGAGCTGCAGATGCATCGGACGCCAGTAGCAAGGGGTCTAATTAGGTTTCTTTTTCAACTGATTGGTACCCAGCTTTAGAAGCTTGTCAGTTGGCCGTTCCATGTGGGTTTCCTGTGGATAGACCTTCTTAAACTTCTGTCAACTCTTCTTGTAAGTTCAACACCAAGAAAAGGAATTTTAGATCCGTTTTCTATTGCAAGATTAAACTTTGTGGCTGAATGGCAGTTGTTGAATATATGTAGTGATTGATTAAGATCGTGACCACCATCACAGATAAAAAGGGTGCCGTCCATATATCTAGCATACATTTGGAAATTGTCAATAGTTGATTTGAGTGGGTCATTCTCGAGGTTTGCAGTCTGCTAGCAGTGGGCCCAGCTGACATCCCATTGCGATCCCATCTTGCTGTCTGTAAATAACATAGTTGAGTGTGAATTGTACATTAAGTGTATACCTCAGTAGTAGTTCTTTTAAACAAGCTGTCGGTAATCCAAAGTTCACCTGGTTTTCGTCTATATATTGACAAATGTAAGAGACAGATTCTGTGAGTGAGACGTTGCTAAATAGTGACTGAATGTCAAGAGAAAGCATACTTTTGTTTACTACGTTTATATCGCGTATATAGTCAACGAATTGAAAAGTGTCACCAGGCGAATAGTGGCACATCTGTTTTCTTACAGGTTCTAAGATATCAGCTAACCATTTGGCTACTGAATGGTAAGGGGAACCTGACATATTTAAAATTGGACGCAGTGGGATGCCAGCTTTATGTGTCTTTGGTAAGTTGTATAGTCTTGTTATTATTGGCCCTGTCGGACGAATGTGATCATAAACTTCATGACTGATAAGCTGTTTGGTTTTTATTCTTTTGAGGATATCAGTGAGCTGTTTTTCGATCTGTTCTGTTCCATTTAATAATAATTACTTAACTGACATTGCCGATGTTATTGGATGGTGGTGTCGATATACACCGTGAACTGGCGAAAGTCAGAATTCATGTACCACTAGATTGTGTCCCTGTGACTGAATAGCGACACGGTTGTCTCATAATCTCCTAGGCACCGACTAAGAGTCTTAAACTAGAATGAAACAAATTTCTAAGCCACTCAGTTTTTAAGTGTTGGTTTGTAGGGATTTGGTTGGTTTCAGGATTTCATCATGAGCTGACATTAGTTAGAGAACCATTGGAAAACCAGCTGGGAGTACTGGACAGCTGTTCCGTCCTAGTTTAGGACTCTTCATCAGTACGTACCCACCGGGATTCGAACCCAGGACCTTCCCGTTACAAGGCGAGCTCGTATACCATTAAGCCAATGGGACCCGATCCAATGGTCCTTGAGTTCTAACTTCTGCCAATTCACGACATAGCGCGACCGCTAGCCAGGATAGCGCGCATTTCGTCCTGTTTGGGACTCGTCAGCTGGATGTACCTGCATTCCTCAGTGAGTGATGATGTTCCCACCGAGGCTCGAACCCGGTGCCCATAGTTTCAAACGCCAGAGCGTTATCCACTAGACCACTAGCGCCACAAGAGAGCCACCTCGTTCTTGTGTAATGGGTCATATTAATTATTTAATTGAATTTGAGATTTTACTGTCGATTGGTTGGACCGAATTGCTCGGTTTCAGGTTGACATGTCGGCTTCTTGTGCAGATGCTTCGACGATATCTAGGCATGCGCATCCTGGATTCCACCATACACCAATCAAATTCTAATTACATGCCCAGACATCATCGAAGCATCTGGACAAGAAGCCAACATGTCAACCGTAGACCGAACACTTCGGTCCAATCAATCGATGAGAATATCTAAAATTCAATTCAATACTCAGTTTTCAATTGTCCTACAACTTTTATTATATCGGTTTGTGATGAAGTCGAATTCATTTTGATTACGTCCTATGGAAGAAGATAATATGATTTGCAAAAAATGTGGATGTATGACGCTTTTAAGTTGGTTACTGTATACCAAGTTATTATGGCATCATAACTGTTTGAGCTTGAATAG